CGAAAGAACCTTTGCTAGCTTGCATAAATGGTTGCAACGTTTTTATAAAATTCTATTACGTGATAATATTGTAGTTCTGGGTCAAATAAGTCATATTTTAGAGTAACTTGGCTGCTAAATATGGCCTCGAGACAAGCGGATGCTGCCGTACATGCTGGTAAGTATTTTTATGTCATTTTTAATGCTATTTTACATCGAAATATATTTATCACGATAAATCGATAGAATTTCCAGTTTATAAAGATTTTTACTCATGCAAAAAACTTGTTCAGAAGCCGCGCTGTGCGTGATCCATGCCGCCGCCCTCGTCGCCGAGTATCTGGCCATGACGCATACCGAGGAGTAAGTTTTCGATGTTTTTTTTCCTTTCCTGCCTTTAATCTGCCTTTAAAGGCACTATCAAGTCCGAAAATCCACTCCTAATATCACTAGGTCTCGACAGCTACGTCAAAAATACAAAAACACCATTTTGATAGCCTTGTCGGACGTAAAGCCAAAAATCGATACAGAACACGCGTATTTTGGCGTGCCGTGTAGTTGTCGAGACCCAGTCGAGCGGGGGGGGGGTCGATTTTTGCACTACCTCTAACGGTTTTTATTTATATTTTCAGATATTTCCCCCGCGGAGCTGTCGATTTCTCACAAATCAGTGAGAACATCCTCGAGGAGTGCGCCGTTTCTGACGATGTTTTAAGGTACACAAATTTTACTTAGCCGAAGCCCAAGCCTAAATCTGAAGCTAAGTCTGAGCTTAAAATACCTTAAAATATAGCCCGGAAGTGGAGGGCATTTGCGAGTCGAAGCACTTTTCCGCCGAGGGCCTCGTGCATCTGATCGAGAGGGGAGCAAGTCTGCTGGAAAAAGCAATGCTCTACGAATCACTGCCACATCTTTACAAGGTAGGTGGAGGCTAGAAACTGCAAACTATAAAATTATGGCCTTTCCGTGCTATAAAAGACGTAACATTACAATCTACTAAAAAATTATTGCTTTAGATAATCGAAAAGATCATCTGGGAATGGCGCGACTTTGCAAAGCTTTCATCAATGCACTCTAGGCTCTCAGGTATTAAAATATCTTAATAAAATTGTCCCCAAACTTGTACTACTACAAAATACAAAATCTTTTCAAGCGGCCCTTGCCCGAATCGAGCCGACGGTGAGCATCCTCGACAACGCATCGGACATGTGGGGAAGTCCGCTAGCCAGGTGAGGACCTTTTTTTAAACGTTATAAGACTTGATAGCATGGCTTGGCAATATTTCAGTTTGAAAACCTACCTAGAAACGTTTAAATCCGCTTAAAAAACTGGAATTCTCGTCGAAAATCGATTTTTGCATTTTTTTGACAATTTTTTTGTAACGGCTTTACGCTTATGAGAAGTTAAAAAACAGCTTAGAAATACTTTCTGTAATTTTATCAAAAAGGCGAATTTTTAGCGTGGACAAACGCTGCTTCGGCACCTACTTCCGCGTCGGCTTCTACGGCGCAAAGTTTGGGGACCTCGACGGCGAGGAGTACGTCTACAAGGTAGCCTTTAAAAATCTGTAAAAATGTCTTATTCTAACTATCTTTATTGATACAGCATAAAACTTTTTTAGGAGCCCCCATTCACAAAGCTTTCCGAAATTTCGTCACGCCTCGAAAACTTCTACTCGGATCGCTTTGGCCACGGGCTAGTTGAAGTTATAAAAGATAGCAACAATGTAAGTTGAAAGAACCTGGTTCTAGGCATTAAAAACTAGGAAATTGTGCTAAACAACGATTTCCAGGTCGTCCGCACGTCACACAATTCCTCGAAAGCCTATCTGCAAATCACCTACGTCGAGCCGTACTTTGAGAAATGGGAAAAGCGCCACCGCCCGACCCACTACGAAAGGGGCAACAATTTGAAGCGGTAGACTATATGGAACTGATAAAAAACCTAAAAACATACAATCTCAGATTCATTTTCGCGACTCCGTTCACCCGAGACGGAAAGGCGCACGGCGATCTGAAGGACCAATACAAGAGAAGGACGATTCTTACGACACAAAATGCGTAGGTTGCCTATCGATCATTGAGGTAGCAAGAAATTACCGCGTTAAAAAAGCTGTTTTCGTTACCTCTAACCTGCGACGTGTCCTAATATAGAAGACTCTGATACCTAAAACCTTGATTTTCAGCTTCCCCTACCTCAAATCGAGGATCAAGGTCATTGAAAAGGAGCAGAAAGTTCTGACGCCGATCGAAGTGGCTATTGAGGATATCGAAAGAAAGGTTTGTCGAGTAACTAAAATCTAAATAAAAAGTAATTTCTACAGAAATTCCGGCGAAACCCAAGCAAAGACATCTTTTCCCGGCCCCATTCCCAAAATAACTTTTTTACTAAAACGTCAAAATTCGTTTACTACTCAATTAAAGGCAAAATCATATTTTTTATGTCGGAATCAAATAAGAAAACCCACTATTTTCTTGTCCAAATTAAACCGAAACCCCGCTTCACATCCAAAAAAACTTTTAACAAAACTAACTGGCCTGTAAACAATCAAATCTAGACGCGCGAACTCGGCGCAGCAATGGCCCAATCGCCACCAGACGCCAAAATGCTGCAAATGGTCGTCCAGGGCTGCATCGGCACTCAGGTCAACCAGGGACCGCTACAGGTACCTAGAATCAACATTAAATTCGTCAAATCCGTCAAAAAAAATAGATTGAAATCTTTCCCTCTAGGTCGCCAACGTCTTCCTGGCCGATTGTGCCCTCGACGACCGCGGGAAACCGCTGGATCGCCTCCAAAATAAGCTACGCTTATGCTTCCGCGATTTTAGGTACAGTACAACCCCCAAAAAACGCCCAGAATTTTAGCAAAAAATGCTCGGACGCCCTGATCATCAACAAGCAGCTCATCCAAGCCGATCAAGCGGCATATCAGGTAGAATCAGCGCTCTAAACTAGTAAAAATCTGACTGAAACAAGCGTAAAACCTAACAAAAAATAAAAAATCATTCCAGACCGAACTCCAACGAAACTACGACGAGTTCAGCAAGCGCATGGCCACGATTCTCGGCTCAACGCCGAGGCTTCGCGACCGTTGCGGTGATGCCGACATCGTTAGCTCTGTAAGTCATTTTACTAAAATGTTATCCCCTCGAAAAAGTTTGCTTGAATATAGCCGATTCAGAGACTATCAACCGTATCGATTTGGTGAGCTTGTCGTTGTTTTGTACTTCTCAGAACACCCTATCCTGTCTGGCCACCGGTTTCAACACAAAATACGCTAGAGAAAAGAAATAAAACACTCATTTGCAGATCCAAAACGACGTCTTCTTGTTTGGTGACATGGGCCCGGCAACAAATGTCTGAAACTTCACGTTAAATCTTTGTATTTATTCGTCTTTTTGTATCCCGCTCTGAATAATTGATTCCGCTTTGCACCCCTAATTTCTATCCCCAAACAAATAGCATTAAAAGTATATTAATTTTCAATTAAAGAACAGAATCTTAAAAAGCTTAGAAAAAGCTTGATTGCAATCCAAAAGTAAAAATTTGAACGGTTACGCGACGTTCCGCTTTACGACAAAGATACGGTGCATCGCGGAATCAATTTTCTTGCTTTCTATTTTACACTTGGATTTTTCTTTTTTTTGTCTTTACTCGCCAATTTGCGGTGTATCTTTTTTTAATTTATGGTTTTGGGTCAGAATAGTCCGTGTGCTGAATTCTATTTATTTGCCTTCCAATTACAGCTTTTCTCGAAAAACCGGGTTCCCTGCTATGAAAATCTCTGGCTTTCGTTGGCATAATAGTCTTTGCAATTTGTAAATGTGGGTTTAGTTTGACAATAAACGGTATCTCTATTTTCGATTGCCGCTTTGATTATGGCTTATTGCCTTGCTCGATGCCTCTTTATTGATTCGATTTTTGCCTTCTCTACATTCGTAAATCATCTAAATTTTCGTTTAGATGGTCCTTCTTCCTCCCACCGTGAAGCTTGCTGGCGCGTCGAATCCGGATAGCGGTGAAGAAGGTACTCAATTTAATTATTTTAAAGCTTGAATTCTAGGTCAAATGTTCTCCCCACTCCTGCTGCCTCAAGAAGAAATTGCCGCCGTCGAGCAGGGCTTTCGCATCCGCCCACTCAACGAAAAGGACTACGACAAGGGGTATTTCATTCATTTCAATTTCGCATCTCTTGTTTTTAGATTCCTCGACCTGCTTGCCCAGCTCACATCCGTCGGCCAAATCACCGAAGAATCATTCCTCACCCGCTTCCGGTCGATGAGCCAGCCGCAGAGTTACTACGTCGTCGTCATTGAAGATGAAAGGTATTCGATATTTCTTTGCTGGTTCATATTTCTTTGCAGCACAAACAAAGTCGTCGGCGCGGCAACGTTGGTGCTCGAGTGGAAGTTCATCCACGAGGCCGGCGCGAGAGGGCGGATCGAAGATGTCGTTATTCACCACAAGATGCGCGGCCGCAAGTTCGGCGCTCTTCTCATAAAGACGCTGGTGGCGCTCGGAAAACAGGTATTTAACCCGGTGTAAGCTGTTTTATTCGTAATTTTTAGTTTGGTGTCTACAAGATGTCGCTGGAGTGCAAGGACGAGCTGGTGCGCTTCTACGGCCTCAACGGTTTCACCAAGGACCCCGGAAACTTTATGACCCTGCGGTACGATTGTTTTATTTCTAATTATCGTTTTTTTTTAGATTTGATCAACCCGAACTCGTGCCACTCAACGAAGAACTGGGCCAAAGCAAAATCTGAACATGCATTCAATTCACTTTTCCTTTTCCCCCGGTTTTCCTGTGATGTTCCATTAGTCGACCTCACCCAATAAGTTTGTGATAACCCTTCACTTTTTGCATAATTTGTCAGTTGCGCAATACGGATAAATGGATTATGAAGATCTTGGTCTTTTCAGAACTTATTTAGTCTTGGTTTTAACCTGAATATCGTGAACGATTGGACCAATCTTTGAGTTTAGCGGAACCTTTTCAGAATTTTGTTTTTGCGGGTAGATGAGCTGTGAAGGAGAAGTCCCGTCGCTGATTGAGGTTTACTTATTTGGCTTTATGTTTAATTGTTTTAGTGGGACGCAGACTTCAGCTTCGTTGACCCGAATTGGGTGAGTCAGAAGTTGCCGAAGGAATCGATCAAAATCCCCCCGCGAACATATCCCCGATCCGGACGCGGACGCCCTGCCCGCAACGCTAGCGAATAAGGTTTGCAGTATGTTATTGGCCCAAATTTCGCTTTAGGACACTCAAACCGACGCCGCGTTCCGCTGGACTGACGCAGCCATCGGGCTTATTCGTATGTGAGCGGCCTATTTGGTTCAGGTATAGTTTTGAACGATTTTTTTAACTCGGCCATTAGTGCAGGACCGATACAAGCGTATCGATCTCTTTCTCGTCGCGCATTAATACGTATAGTCTAGTTTTCCATTTAGCTAACGCCAACTCGTCACTTTTTGCTATAATGGGTAACGAACAATCAGCCGCCGGATCTTCACAATCTACTTCATTTTCTTTCTTATCCAATAGAGGTAATTTACGCGGATTTTCGAATAGTATGTTTTTAGCTAGCGTCAAGAAGCCGGGCGGTATCGTCAGGGTCTCCGACGGTCAAATCAAGCAAATCGACCCTCGCGAGGATGCGGATTATAAACGTTTAATGGTAAGAAGAACATTAGAGTACTGATAATGCCCATCTAGGATATACCTCGATTTCTACCAATTCTACGAACCGCGGTGCCGGCCGGCCGTCAAGCTGTGCCCAACGAAAACTTGGATCGTTTATCGCACAGGTCTGAAAAAAAATCCATATAAATCATTTTTTGATTTTTAGACCAATCTGGCGACTTTCCGTGCGACTCCAATCCCATCTTCACACCCAAGCCCAGACTATATGCCTTCAACAAGCAAAAATTACTCAGGGAATCAAGACGGTAATTGGACGCTTTATTCGGTTACAACTCATACTTTAGGCCGACGTGGCCTCCGCTACCATTGCTGCAAAGCTTGTCGAGCGGAAGAAAAAGTACGACCGGCTCAGGGCTTCTCTCGCCCAGGTCACGCAACTCAGGGACGAGGTTGTTAGGATCCAGGTGAGAATTTTGACCTTGAAATAGTCTGTTTTAGATTCTACTCGAGGAAATTGTGCCCTGCGTCGAGACGGTCAACGAGCTGCTGACGCCAGCGAATCGGTTGCCTCCACTGGATCTGAAGAAAATATTCGCGGACACGGGTGAGCATCCGTATCTTACGTTGGGTTGTATGCCTTCGAATTTTAGTTGAAGCTCCATTTTACATGCCTTTTAGGCTCCTCCACCGGTCCCTACATGATCACCCCGATCGAGGAGACGCGCGTCGTCGACCAGGATTGATCACTCTGTATTTATCGCCCTCTTCTAATGGCACTCACCTTCAATAAACATTCCACAAATGACACAATGCATTGAAAATCGACATCTGGGATCGAGTTGGAGCAGGGAGAGGTGATTTTTCTGACGTCAGCTTGATTGGATCAGATTTGGACTCCCGAATTTTTGGGCCCTAACCCGGGCCCTGCTGCCTCCCTTTTTGTAATTATGGGCTATTTGGTGGAGGGGATTGCGCAACGCACTCCCTCCCCCTCCCCCCCACAATACCATGCCATCAGGCGTGCCGATTCGCTATGGGGGCAGGCTCTTCTGCTAATTGCTCTGGACACCTCGAAACAGCCAAGAGTGGTTTGGGATTGTTGGTGCTCACCAGATTGTGGCTCCTCTCTAAAATACCGAATGCCGTATGCGATCGCGGTTACTCTAAAGGAACCTCAGCTAGCATGGCCACATGTTCTTGGGGATCATCTCGGATACAACTAGCTTTGGTTTTAGAAAATGTCCTAATCGCTCTCTCCTAGCATGCTCGCATCGTATTGTCGGCTGTTCTTTGTTATCGCTATCTTGAAGCGTCCAGATAGTTACCTGAAGGGTCTCTTCTAGCCTAGTTGTGTTCTTGGAATGAAGTAGAATGCGCACGGACGTACAGTTTACGAACAACTGTTTATCTACATAAATGGTGGCAGGAGGATCGGCAACAGAGCTAGTCTGTGCCGATAAGTGGACCCGCAACGAGATAATACAATCTAGTCATAGGCGGGGAGTGGCGCACGCGACGCGACCGCAGGGGGGCGCGCGCCGGTGGCTTACCCACTGGATAGGAGGGACAGCCGGGAAAGAGGATCTAATGTGGTCCAGCAAAGCTGACACCACAACACCTCCCCTTGTACAAAACAAAGTACGAATTCCTAGGAGAAATTGGGACAGGTGGAACATGAGATAGGCGGAGTCTAATGTGGTCCAGCGAGCTGGCCCCACAACACCTCCCCTTACACAAAAAACAAGTGTAGATTGGAGGGGACCGGGATAGGAATCGAGTGAAAAGCACAATAAAGTTCAAGAAAAAATTATCTGCTTATTCCTTCACTCCTTGATGACGCGCAGCGAGGCGATCACCGACAACGTCCATCCTTCACCTTCATCGCCTTCACATCACGTCCTCCTTCTTGTCGACCTTCTTTTCCTTCTTTCCTTCTTCGGCTTCACTTGTAGACGCGGCCTTGGGCTTGACACGCGCACCTCCTTCGGTCCTTTCGTGGATGAGGACTAACCAACTTCCTCATCTTCTGCTACCTTCGCGGCTTGTGGCGGTCCTTGGGGCAAAACGGCGGCCGGTCGCCGGGCACTTCAGGCACTTGCACCCTCCTCCTTCTTCGACAACGGCAGCGTGCCCTCCACCCGGAAATGTGGGGGCAAAAAGGGGAAAAAACACCTCCCTTTCCATTGATCCTGCACGAGCGGCACCGGCACATCATCCATCGATGGGCCCGCCGGCATCAGCACGCTCTGCTCCTTGATCTTCTCGCCATGCCTTCTTTCTTGTCGCTTGCCAACCATGTAGACGTCCCTGACCTCGACCTTGTCGCTCTCCTTGACCTTGTCGCTTTCTTGGTCCTTGTCTCGTCGGCTTGACTTGACTTCTCGCGCTTCTCCACCTTCTTTCTTCATCCTTGATCACGTTTTCGGGCTCGAGTGGCTTCTTGGCTGGGGCATCCCTTGATCTTGCGTGAGTTCTTGATCCTGCTCGCCAGTTGTTGTGTTCTTGGAATGAAGTGGAATGCGCACAAACGTACAGTTATCGAACAACTGTTTATCTACATAAATGGTGGCAGGAGGATCGGCAACAGAGCTAGTCTGTGCCGATAAGTGGACCCGCAACGAGATAATACAATCTAGTCATAGGCGGGGAGTGGCGCACGCGACGCGACCGCAGGGGGCGCGCGCCGGTGGCTTACCCACTGGATAGGAGGGACAGCCGGGAAAGAGGATCTAATGTGGTCCAGCAAAGCTGACACCACAACACGACCTTTCTTGGTTACGGACATCTTTAATTGGACAGTATCTTTGTCGACCGACCTCTGCTAGCATTCTCACGACTTTCTGCCGACATGTCTGGGTTGGGACGCGTTTAATTAACAGGAAAAAAAACTAAATGCTCGCGGCTAGCATCTGCACGCTGCCGGGTAGCTTTTTGATTGGCAATGTCCCTAAATACCTAGAAAAATTCCTCGAGAATTTCTGCTATCCTGCCGTGGGGGGGTGTTTCCAAATAGCACAGTCGTGTCACCCTTTTGTCACACTTTACTTTGTCAGGCTCGTTGGCAAATATTCTGGGCCTCGGTTCGGGCCAGCGAGGGCTCTGGTCCTTTGAGATGGCGCTAATGTGCGTATTGTTCACAGCCGGGGGGTCATGAACACGTTGTTCTCGTCGGTCCACACCCATTTGCTATAGGTTCGGGAGAATGACAGCCAGGGGTCACTCTTCATTTTGGGATGGAGGACTCTTGACCTCGATTGGATGGCTGCCATGATTTTTGTTAAACGTTAAACATTGAAGAAGTCGCTCTCTCTCTCTCTCTCTCTCTCTCTCTCTCTCTCTCCTCTCCAAGGCAAGCTAGCAGTACCCATTTAGGCCCAACCCACACGGAAGGTTCTACCATCAAGTTCCCCTCCTATCTGCCAATCCACTCACATGCTGTGGTTGTGGCCAAGTGATGGCCCAGTGGCCACTATCCCCCCAATCTTGGCCCCGTCATGCCCTGAGGGCACATACTGACCTGCCAATCAAGTCATAGCCGACTCGCCTCCTCTCAACTCTGCAACCAGCCCCCGGGTTCCCACGGCTTTTCCCTTGCCAGCTTTGCCACATCCTGCCTTGAGTGGTCACTCCGGCTACGCATTACTACTCTTTACGGGACGGGTTTTGACGATGTATTATGGAAATTTGGGTTTAAAGGGACGGTGACAAATGTCAGGGTTAATGCTTAGGCTTAGGTTTAGGCTTAGGCTTTCATTTGGTTTAGGTTTAGGCTTACCTTAGGCTTCTCGTTTATCCTTTTGAAATCTTTTTGAACTTGCCACTTCCCCCACAGCAACATGACAGTTTGCCCTCCCGCTTACACCCATCCATCATGCGATCGGTCAACCCGCCGGAGGGCTGGAAAACAATTTTTGTTCGCGGCGATTGAGTTCAGGAATTGGTTTTGTTATAGTTTTCAGGCGTTCCTATCTCTCTCTCTCCCTCTCTCTCTCTCTCTCTCTCTCTCTCTCTCTCTCTCTCGCTCTCTCTCTCACTCTTAATACAGACCAAATAATTCCATAACCCCTCGAAATCGGTGCTTTCTTTCGCGAGTACCCTCCTCTATTTGCCCCGTCCCATCCGCTTACAATGCTAGGTATTGCCAGTAGACTGGCTGTAGAGAGAAAAGTTGGTAGTGGTGGATGTGGGCCCTAAGGGACGTTGCGGGGTGTTGTCTCGTATTTCTCGGGCTGTGCTCCCATCCAGTCCACCACTGCAGTCTCCCCTGTAACGCAATCCGGGGGTCCGTACTCTCCCTTTCCCGGTCTCTCTCAGAAGGCCCGGAACGTTGTAACTTCTTTTTTCGAGGTTTAAAACTTGTTGAGGGTTTCCTAAAGGGTCTCTGCCGGCTGACCTGGTTTTATAAGATTTTTCAAAGCTTGGAACCTTCGAAAATCGGGAAAAATGCCTAAACAAGTCTCTCTCTCTCCCTCTCTCTCTTTCTCGTTTTCGCTTTCTCTCGCCCTCTCTCTTTGCTCAACTTTTGTTGAAAGGTGCTTACATTCATTTTTAAACGTTTGCAGAACCTAAAAATCCTGAATTTTCCATGCTAGGTCTTTAATCAAGCTTCCAGAGCTTTCCTAAATTGTCTCTGCTTGCTTGCCTAGATTCTGGATCGATTTCACTCAGCTTGTCCTTCTAAAAATACACAAAAGATCGGTACCGGTTTACCCTTTTTAGTCCCCCCAAAACTCCCAAAATCCTTGAAAATTCTGCTAGGTACCCCAAATCTCGTGCTCATTCCCAGGCTCGATGACCGGCAGGGCGTTTCCCCTCCTGTACCCACCAATTACGGTATCTGCTCCCACTCAAACTGCGTCGAGACTGGTGAATAAACAGACTGTCACAATGGGTTGTCTCCCCACCCTGTCAGTCCGTTGATAGGAGTCTAAAGGAAAGTGACAATCAGCAACCCTGAAGAGTCGCTCTCCCTTAACTATTATGCGCGTTGATTTCGGGCTCTATGGGTCGGGATTTTCGAAAATTCGGAATAAGGGAATTTAGCTGCTAGCGCATGCTCAGGTAAGTCAGAAATTCTGAAAAATTACGCGTTGGTTACGGTATTTTTTTGCGGACGCTTCGAAAGGCTATTTATCGCTTGCCGTGGGCGTCAGCCTTAGGTATTGCTCTCTGTGTCTCTCTCTCTCTCTCTCTCTCTCTCTCTCTCTCTCTCACTCTCTAGCTCTCCCTCTCTCCCGCTCTCTCTCTCCCTCGCTCTACGCTTCTAACGGAACACTACAAAGAACTGAGCCTTAGCGCTTCTAAAAACTACCATAGCCTCACCTCCAGGTACAGTACACCCCCCAAAACAGCCAAGATCTATTTCCAGCATTTCGTAGTGTTCATTTCATTGCATCTCCTTCTCCTTCTTGTCTGTTTAGATTAAAGGGTTTGTGAAGGAGTGAGAGGGCGTGTGCCTCGTTCCCTTCCTTATGCGGGTAATCGAATAAGCAACAACCGATCCCACATTCCACACTCACTATCCACCCCATCTCATTTCTCGATTCCCTTCGCTAATGCCGCTGATTTTTCTGCACGTGAAGAATTTTCCGGAAGAGGCCTATCGCGCCGAAACACCGACGACCACCTGATTTCGGCAACTCTGGGGGTTTAGGAGTTTTTTGTAGGGTTCTAGCGCATCCGGTATATTTTTGGGCTGGATAACTGTCGCTCTCTCTCTCTCTCTCTCTCTCTCTCTCTC